ACCTTGCAGCTGGGGGGGGGGCGGCTATGACCCTAGGAGATCCTGGGGTAAAAAAAATCCATGCCAAAAAAAAAGTAGGGTGGCGCATATGGCAACAGGGCATGCTGCCCAAAACAGGAGCCTGGCCAGCTGGACCCCAGGTAAGGCTGCTGGGGCCAGAATAGTTGATGGCCCCAGACTCCCCTACCCCACCCGGGGTAACCTGACATGCTCCAGAGCAGGTGTGGCATAGGCGTTCCCCCAGCCCAAGCTGTGCTGCTGCTACTTGTTAGGGATATGTGAAATAGCACCATTTTGTTTCAACTTCCATTTTACCATTTCAACAGGACAGTGTTTCATTTCAAGTTTCATTTAGTTTTGAAAGGACTGTTCCATTTTGTTTTGTTTCATCTAAACTGTTTTGCTGTTTTGACGTTGTTTCAATGCTATCTTGACATTTTACCCATAGGCTATAATGGGAAAGCACAAAACTGCCTATAACTTTGTCATTTTGTGGCAGATTTAGATTAAAACAACAGGGATAGTAGCCTCTTCTCAGGGTATGAAGTCTGCCAAGTGTCAAGGAGATAGGTGCAGGGGTTTCTGGGAAACTGCACCTCAAAGTCTTGAAAGCAAAATTCATGTCATTTGTAAGTGTGAAGGCACAGGGGGGTGAAAACAGGCTTTGTGGCCCTTGGCAGGTCCTTGCTGACGCCATGAAGCCTGCCAAGTTTCAAGGAGATAGGTACAGGGGTTTCTGGGAAACTGTACCTCAAGCTGCTGACGAGCAAAAGTTGTGACATAGGTGACACTGTGTGTGTGTGTGTGTTAAGGCATGCCCTAGCTGGCACTGGGGCCTCTGCGCAACACAGTAGTGTGCCCTAATGAGGTCTTCTCCTCCCCTACAGCCTCAGCCCAGTCCACCACTTTAAATAACAACAGGTAATAACTTAGTAAGCAGCACAGTAGCACCAGCAGAATCTCAGACAGCCAAACAGTCACAGTAAATATCAGAACAGTCCTTCCCCACTCTTCCCCCTCCCTCTCCTTACTTTCTGTTTCCCTGCAGGCAAGCCCAGCTTTAGCTTTGAAATTCAAAGCATTTTGAAACTTTTGAAATGTTTCAACTGCCTTTGCTTTGTTTTGATGCTGTTTTGAAGCCCTTTGTTTCATTTCAGTTTCACTGTTTCAAGCTCGAAACAAGTCAAAACAGTGTCAAAATGAAACAGCTGGTGAAATTTGACACAGCCCTACTACTTGTCCCTGGGGAAACAAATGCACATGCTCATCTGGGGACAGCCACAGAGTTTATTCTGCGCTGGACTGGGTGAAATTACATTTGATTCAGGATTTGTGACATCCATCCACTACTTTTGGATGTTGGTGTAATGCCAATTGCTCCAGTACAGATGTGTTGTCTGTCTAGGCCACCTGTGCATATTAGAATTTAACTGGTGCAACTTGTCCTCACTAGAGGTTTGCATTCATGGAGCTGCATCAGTACAGGTACACCAGAAGCAGAGAAGGCCTAAATCCTTGAACAACAGGTAATGTTATACCCAGCTGACTATGGCTGAGTCTAACACTCCACTTGATATCAGAGGGAGGTGCATATTGGGCCCATAATGCCCCCTCACAAGTACATGTAGCTATGTGGCCTGAAGGAATGGCCAAGCATCACCTAGACACCATCCAGTTTTTTCAGTGATGGTTCTGTTAGTAATATTTCCCCAACTTTCTACATCTGTTTGCTTTATTATTTTGGGAGCCAAGATAGGAATAGGGGGAGACAAGATGCACTTGCTATAAATAAATGCAAAGCTACATCTCAGTTAGAAATATGACCTCAGATGAATATGACCTCAGAAACTCCTCCTTGGTGGTGGTGATAAGTTCTGACCCAAAATCACACAGGCCAAGAGCAGTACATGGAAGATTTATGTGCGTTTTGTGCTTCTATTTGTATATGTATGTGAATATATGTATATGCATGCACATACATACATATATAGTGGGATTGGCAAAAATGCTAGGTGTCCCTTTTAAGTACAGGTGCCTATCTTGTTTAGCTACTTTGGCTGCATATAGGTGTGCTGGTTTGTGTTCTAGTTGGAACGCATCAGAGCAGACTTGCTTAATCGATTCAATTAATCTAATTAGTGTGCTGCAGTGTCACCTCATTGCCATGGGCAACTGGTGCCTCCTGATCCTGGGGGGGTACCAGTGGCTAATTGCCACCGCTGGCGGAAGTGCTGGCAGCAAACCTGGAAGTGCTACTAGCGCTTCTCTCAGCACCTCCACATTCTCACGGGGGCACCAGCCATTGCCCCCCCCAGTCCCTGACCAGCAAGGACCAATCTCGGGGGAGGGCACGTGCCCTCCTATGTGTTGCCTATGATCATTGCCATGTGTATTAATCTCCCCTGTGTTTCAAAATGCCCATGGGGGTGCTTTAACTAAACCTCGCTGAATGAGCTTTAGTTAAAGGGCTGCCATGCCCATTTTGAAATGGGGGGGGGAGGGAGGGAGCTTAGTACACATGATAGTGAGCCATTTTAATTAGGGCAGCTGTTCAGGAACCACTCTAAAATACTCTTCTCCCTCCTCCAAGCAAGTGTATATGCAGCCTTTCATAAATCTCACTAGGGATGTGTTTGCAATGGCCAGTGAAGCTTGGGAAGAAAGGGTAGGGTAATATTCATGTGCTTGAACTAACACTCATGGTGTGGACACAGGTGCATTTGGAGTCCTTTCAGAAGGGGAACCTTGCAAAAGGGCAGCAGCTGTTACCTTGTAATTGTTATGTGTGAACAAGCTGAGAATGATTTGGAGGTAGGGAAGCAACTCAACACTGCTTCCTCCAAGGTTTATCTAGGCACACTTTGCTACACTTGAATCATTCTCAGCTCATTCACATGTAACAATTAGAATGGAACAGCTTATCAGCTAATGCCCTTTTGAAAGGTTTCCAAATGTATGTGTGTCCAGTAAATTTGGATAAGTCACCCGGGAGCAGGCCTACACAGTTATATAGAGTATAAACATGCAGAGACATGCACAAACATGCAAAGAGTCTCTCTGCCAAAAAAGCTGCTCCTCTTATAGCTGTTAACTCCTGTTCAGCTGTCACAATCAGACCACAGGAATCAGGAACATCTTCCTGTCCTGGTGTGAGGCAAAAGAAAAATCCCTTTCCCCTGTTAAAGGAGTGTACCAGCTAAAAACTAGAGTAACTAGTAAGCCTGTTTTATATTATTATTATTATGATTTTCATTTGCTATTCAGCAATAAATTTTGCTCAAAGCTGTCATTGTAAGTCAAGACATATTATGCCCCTAGACTGCAAGAGGCAGGCAGAACACTTTAGAAGAAAAAAAAAAAAAACATTGCAGGGTGGGTCCAGGGAGGGAGGAGATGCACTGGTACACTTGCACCCCCCTCTGGCTGTTGCTTCACCTAGATTTTAAAGCCAACTGCCTAGCAGTGGCAGCAGTATTTCCAGTCGGGCAGTGCTGAGGGAGCCATTTGACATAATAGCTCAATATAATTTACCTGATTCCTTCTAAACTCTTCATTCAACAGGTGTTAATGATCCTCTCTTCCTCTTCTACCAGTCAAGCTGTCCCTTGTTCTGCAGTCTGTTAGCTGCTCCTGATAATGAAACTTCTAGCTCTGCAGATTGTTTTTAACTCATACTGGTGAAGTCATATTTGTTTTTGCTTCAATCTTAAACTGAATAATACAGCCCTAGGCCCCTAGTGTATTAGCAAAGCTTCTAGTTTCTTTTTACCTCAAGAAAAATCAGTTAATTTTATATGTGATGAATGATGATGCACTTTTTCAATATTCTAGATTTGCCCATCCTGCAACATTATCATGTTCCAGAGATTTATTATCCAGAACAGACCATCTTTAGAGTACAGGGGATGGGAAGAAGAGAAAAATGAGTTGTAAGATGTTTATTACTCAGGCAGTATAAATATGCTGAAATGTCTCTCTTTGCTTAGGTAATTAAAGCATCCGTATCCTTCTCTCTGTCTTTCTCTGCAGTTCATCCTCATTCTGAGCCAGCTCCAGGCAGCTATCATCAATATTTTGGCCACACACAGAATTATTCCTTGTGCACCACCACTCCCCTCTTCAGCCAGAGCAGCTTGTAAGTTCTTGTGGATGGGGTGGGGTTATTTTCTATTTTCTTATACCAGTATTTGTTTAGATGCAGGGTGCTGACAAGTAATATTTTGTCTCGCAATTGGCCCCCTGACAGAAGAGCATGGCCACAGAGCACTTTAAAAGTGCCCAATAATCTGAATGGGTTCAGATGAAGGCGTTCTGAAGTGAAGCGCCTTCATTAACTTTTGTCAGCATGCACCAGGAGCAGGGCTGGGCTGATATAGCCCACCCTGCCCCCAGTGCTGTTTTCAGAATGGGAGGGTGTGTGTGGCAGGACTGCCCCTAGGGGTGCCGTGCCCTCCCCTAGCGCCCTTGCCTACCGTGCCAAGTCTGGGTCCTGAACGCACCCTCCGTCTCGCCCGCCACGTCTTTGATCTAATATTGTATCAATGGGAGGCTGCCTTCCAGATTTCCTTGGCACAGGGCCAGTCTCACTAAACCTGCACTTCCGGGACTACTCCCTATACTGGCCCTCGCCGGCCTGTCTCCCAACTGTTCCAAGTAGCCCGCCGTCCCTTAGGGCCTTCTCTCAATGTATGCCCGCTCCTGGGGCCTTCTCTCAATGTGCGTGCCCTGCTGGGGCCTCCTCCTAATGTATGCCCGCTCTCGGGCCTGGACCAGTGCTCCCCGCACCCCTGGCCCGCACTCAGGCGTATACCTACACTCTCCGCACTCCTTGCCCACTCTCAGGCCTGTACTCGCACTTCCCGCCCAACTTGGGCCTACGCCTGCGCTTCCCGCGCGCCTTTGCCCGCGCTCGGGCCTAGTCTCGCGCTTCTCACACTCGGGGCTCAGGCGGCCTCAGCCTTACCTGGCCCCAGACCCCTTCTAGGGTCATATGCCTGACTCGGGCTTCTCACCATTGGGGCTCAGGTGGCCTTAGCCTTACCTGGCCCCCCCCAGACCTGCCTTCTTGGGCCTATGCCCCACTGGGGCCTTCTCGCGCTTCTCACGCCCGTGCCCACTGGGCCTACAGTGCTTCTCACGCCCTCGCGCTTCTCGCGCCCTTGCCCACTGGGCCTCTTGCCTGTGTTCAGGTAACCCGCACCGGAGTCTCTCCCCTGTGCCCATATAGTCCACACCAGGCTCCTACTCGCACTCCTTGCCCATTGGGCCTACTCGTGCCGCGCTTTTTGCGCCCTTGCGCTTCTCGCGCCCACACCCAATGGGCTTACAGTGCTTCTTGCACCCTCGTGCTTCTCGCGCCCACGCCCAATGGGCCTCTTGCCTGTGCTCATGTAGCCCACACTGGAGTCTCTTCTCCGTGCCCGGATAGCCCGCACCAGGCTCCTACTCGCGCTTCTTGCGCCAACTACAGCGCCCTCCCTGGTGCTCAGAGCACCCCCACCTTACTGGAGGGCTCCTGTTGAGGCCTCCTCCACCTCTACAGCCTTGCCCAGTCCTCCAGTCTTATACAAACGAACACAAGCCATAAGCCAAACGGCTATAACACAAAACACAAAGCCCCTCGGCTACAACTTAGGTTCCCCGCCAACCTGGCTAACCTCCGTATCCCTGCCAGGGTTCTCTCCACCCGGCGTCCGCATGCTTAACGCCCAGCCCAG